GATCTTGTTGATTAATAACATAAAGTAAATGCACTTCTCAAAAATTTAAATCTTTGTTTAGTTGTTTTATTAGCACATCTGATTGAATATGTTTAATTTACACTTATGTTACTGCTTCTTATCAAAATTAACTAAATTTTTGAAGTTCAGCGATGGGAAAATAATGGTAGAGCTTACTGTAAATCATTTTTTAAGAATTTGTAATAAATTTTAAAGAATAAATTAAATAATTTTGAAGAAGTTAAAAAAATTGTAGAGATTAAAAGAAGCAGGTGGCATTAAAATTATAACGAAGATACAAAAATGTCTAATAACCGTGAGAAAGTTGTGAGTAATCTTAAAGAATGCAAATGAGAAATTTAGCTAAAACATAGTAAATTGTATGTAACATAAAAGGGTAAAAAGGTAGAAAAGGAAATAAGTTGTCAAATGTTGCAGAACAGGAAATTCATTCAAGAGGGTTTTCTTGAGACTTGGAAGCTGAAATAGGTCCATTTTTGCTAATAAAAGAAATAGTTAATGAATAAGTACAAAGTAAAAAGCAATTCACAAACCTCATCCGACTGGGTTCTGACAGCAGTAACAACTGGTGATAATGATTCAAAATATATTGATATAAATTAAATTAATACGTTTAAAATCCATTCCATATTGAATACGGAACAAAAAAATAAGCAAAACTAAAAAAAAAAAAAAAATAAATAAAATAAAAAAACAGAAACATAGTGGCAAATTGCGTGAATAAACAAAAACAAAAATGTTAATAAAAATGTTAAAACAAAAAAGAAACAAAGAAAAAAGTAATTTATACATATATATATGAAAGATATTAAGAAAATACGATAACTGTTTTAAAAATAATTGGCGACCTCAAATTAACGATTGAATAAGTGTCTGCCAAAGTAATTCCATATGTGTGAAAATAAAGACTGGTGATTTATCGAAATTAAGTTTTGTTGCCTTCATCTGTATGCCTTAATCACCATCCATGACTATTATCAAAAGCTGTTAAGAATTCCAGGCTTCCACTGTGCATTCAAAATCATGACATAAGAAAATTCGGACAGGATCGTAATGGGATGGAAATTTTCCCCAACGTATGGGTACAGGTTGTTTCTCCAGTGATTACGAAAGAAAAAATTATAAAAGTGATTTAATTTAATGCCGTGTGTTCAAGGTCATCCGCATGTGCTACGTAATAGTGTATTGTGATGCTTCTTTGGCGAAATGAAGCAACTCCAATGGTGGAACACAGCAATAACTTTTATTTAACACTAAAAAAAAAAAAAAAAATGGCGACATACAAACAAGAAGAGAAAACATATTCTATCATTTAAAAATAAATTACATTCTTCGTGCGAGAGTCGCACGAGGCACTCGAGTCTGGTTTCAAATATTGCCATTCACAAATACCTTAATGTTCATCTATTTAAATTATTTAAACTATAAGATTTTAATACTATTTAAAGCTGTTACAGTATGTATCTTACTCTTTCGCCCTTCTCGTCGGCTACGCGATGCTTAATTTTGCTTATATTATCAACGGATTAGTTTTTTTCTTCCCTGAGGAAGCTGTCTTCGCTAAAATGTGATGTCGATCTCAACAGCGTTGTTTTACAGTGAACAAAGTGGCGTGTGCCGTCAAATCTTTAAATATGGTGTTAATGGTGTCTCATGTGATCAGTGAAATTTGAAAAAATTCTAATGCTGTGTGCGCACGTCAAGTGTTTCAATTGTTTAAAGTAAATTCTTCAGGAAAAAATGTGCATAATTTTGTAAATTTTTCAGAAATTTCAGTGCGTAATTTATGTGATTCAGTGTTCAAGATTGATGTTTCAAATTTGACTTTTCCGTGAATTAAGTGCAAAGTGACTATCGGAGCTTCAAAAAAATAAATAAAAATAAATATATTGGTGCCGATTCATCGGGAAAAAAGCAAAAATTAATAATGGAAACTAGATATCAATCAAAAGCAAATGAACAAAACATTGAAACTGCCACAATCAGTATGGATAAATTTCAGTGTGACATTTTCGATGGCTCCAATAATGATATCCCTATAGATAAATTTTTCTTATTGTTTGAGAAAAAGTGCCAGACTAAAAATATTCCCCGACAATAATAAGTCTTTAATTTTTTTCAGAGTGCCTACGTGGCGAAGCTTTGGCATTCTTTCTCCGTGAATGTGTTGAGTTAGAATGGAAAGAAGTAAAGGATAAACGTATGTTACCCATGTGAAAATCTTTAATTTTACTGATTATGTAAAGATTAGTTATTGTAAATTTAAAGACATTGAAAAAAATTTTAGAGAAAATTGAATTTCGACAAATCACCATTTTTTAAAAGGAAATGACGTAGTCAGACAAGAAGCGAAGCGATGGGGATGTATTAGCAGTGGCGAAGCTAGCAGAGGAATGACGTAGTTTTTTGTGCCAAGAGCATTTATACAAAGTCTGAGGTATAAGTAGAGCTAATCTGTGATTGGTTAATTTGAGATTGTTACATAACATAGAAGATTCACGAATTTGGGAGAACAGATGAATTTAGGGGGAGATCACCAAATCTGGAATCGTTGGTTTTGAGGTCGCAATTATTTTTAAAGCAGCTATCGTACTTTCTTATATCTTACATATATATATAACATATATATCCTGATGATTGGGTTTTTTTTTCGTCCGAGGTATGCTATCGCTTAAATTTTCTATACTTTAAAGCGGTAATATTTTTGAAAGCAAACCTTTTATCAAGCGGAATATATTCTGATAAATTAGGAGTACTTCCTGGAATTTTAAAACTTGCCTTCGCTCCAGAGTTACGTTGTGCTATATTATATCTACATCGTGCTGTTTAACTTCACATATAAACGCGTCTGCCAATTTATTTTTAACGACAACCGTTATTTTACTTAAAGCTATTTTCAAGAATGTCCTTAAAATTAACGGTCGATGTTAAATTTAAAGACTACATTTAACAACCGCGGAGATAAGAATGCGGAAATAGTGAATTTAACGATTCATGTCTTCAGAATAACACTGCGTAATTCATCAAATCTCATTAAACGCTGTCATTAAAAGCAACAGAACTTGGATCTAAATGTCTAGCAGAGCATGTCTACATTAGACTACAAAGTTTAAAAACAGGTCCGCTGATAGGAATTTCATGCCCCTCAGCGGATCCTTAATTCTGGTGCTCCTTGCCTCATAAACTTCTTAAAGTTTTTCAGCCCCTAAATTCTGCTGCTCTCTCTTAAATTTTAAAAAGTTTGCCATTACTAAATTTTGATTCTCGGTAATTTTATAAATTCTAAAATTTTTGCAACCCCTAAATTTTGCCCCTCAATGCGACCGCACTGGTTGCACCGGCTCTGCGATGTAAACAGCACCCAATAGTTCATGATTCTAACTGCCAATCTGGTTACACACCTTTAAACTTCTGCTCAACCAAAGATCTTAGTGTCACGGCCGACTAGCAGCGCAGAAATAACTCCAAACAGACACGAGGAGCTTATGTTAATAAAGATATAACTTGCTATTAGGATTCAATACATGTCGCAGTTAAAAAGCAGCAGAGTTTATACTGAGATTTGCATAATCTTCTGAACTGAATAAATTATGATAATCTAAGGCAAAAAGAGGACAGATGAAATGAAAATTTTAAACTTAACTGTGTAATAATAACATGTTTGCCACAGAATCCTAATAAAACTCTATTAAAAGGCCTTTTTTAAGCCGCCAACAGAATAGCAAACAAGTCGTGCTCACCGCGTCATTTTCTCAAGGTCTCAGATTATCTAATTTATTCATATGAATAATTTAATCTGATTTTACCTGCTTTATTTAATTCAAAAATTCAGTTTATAAAGATTCTTTAAGCTTGAAGAATTATTCTATTGTTATTTTCCCTTTATCTATTTCTGAAACTTATTCATCTGATAGATTTATACGATCTACAAGGTAACGAATCTAAATTCCTTTTTTACTATGTACAGTCTAGTGAGAATTCTAAGTAATCCTTCTATAGAGCTGAATGGAAAGCTTATATTATGATTTACCGTTTTCAAGTCAAATACTCCCAACAGAACAGTTTAAAGATGGATTCAGTACAGTAATTTAACAAAATTTAAGAAAGATTTTTGATGATGCTTAATTTTTTAACCCTGCATGCTTAGAAAAAAAGTGTATTGAGTATTGTATTTCTTACTTTCTCTAGTTTAATTATTTATGTAAATGTATTTCAATTCAGATTCAAAACTCATCCGGCTTAATACCTAGTTTTTTAGTCAAAGAGGGCCATAGTAAGTTTTGATTGAATGAATCATTTGAGCTTATGATACAATTTCAGAGGATGTGTAAAAGTTTTCCTTGTAAAATTTTACATTTTTACATAACTATTTAATTATAGTAGAGCCATATAAAACTTTTACATAGCGAATACATGATTTTAAAAATGACGAAAATAATAAGAGTATATACGTAAATTATCGAATAGCTATTACCTTTAAACCTTCCCTAAACCTCCAGAACTACTCCTTTACTGTGTTAAAACGTAAATGCTTAATTTACGTATGAGAAACTAGTGAATATGACTTAAAAAAGTAGTATTACTTTTATTTCTTCATAGGTAGGGTATTGATCACGTTAACGTTAAATTCAATTCAGATTGGGCTGACCTTATTAATAGCTAACATAAAAGACACTTTTTTTGGGTGGATGGTCTTGCAAACTGAAGGTACTCATTCTCGTTGTATACTGATATCGTATACTAATAACCGTAAATTCTTTGTAACTTAAGGACTTTCAGGGTTCATTACGCTCACGCTTGTTGCTGACATCTGAGAATATCTTCCTTGTATATAGAAATCTTTATGCATAAAAAGAGCGTTGCAGTGTATGGAGTATCTAGGAGGGAAACCAGTTTAATATAACCTTGAATTCTGTATTACTGTTTCGCTTTTTGTATATGTTCTACTCAGTTTAGTTGAAGGTCATTTGCATCTTTGATTCGTTTTTTGGATATATTAAAGCGTTTGATTTATTGTCTTAGCCTTTATTTTGGTGTCTCTGAAGGAAGGTAATTCTAATAGATTTTTTTTATTATTATTTTCATTTCTTCAGTGCTTAATGATTTGCAGTATAGAGTAAGTATAAAAACTGTTGATTGATACAACGGAAGAAAATGAAGTCTAGCTTAATGACTTCATGTTTGAAGCAGTTAGCAGTGGTATATCATCTGATAGGGCGTTATACAGCTCAGCTCTGAGATTTGTTAAACCAGCAGATAATTTTAAAAGAAGTATGTTTCGAATTTTATATTTACAACTAAACTTATTAACATTTCCTATTCATTTCGAAATATTAGTATTAATTTAAAAATTATCTTATTTATGTATGAATGCCATTTGAATAATTAAAGAAAAAATAATTTTTGTACGCTGATTTATTATTATTAAAGTATTTTAATTGTTTTTTGTATCGTATTTTGTTTACCCAGATATTTAATTTAATGCCTTAAAGCAGCCGTGCATTCAAAGACTTTATAGTGCCTTTATAAAAAATACATAACTTTATATGTAATATCCTAAGCTATATAAATATTTTTTAAAGTTTTATATATAAAGATTGCATACGTAAAACTTTATATGCAATCCTGTATACTGATTACCTGATGCATTTATTTTATTGCAAATACTTAAACTTTCTATTGCATTTAATAAAAAGTTTTTTGTAATCTTAATGCATTGTATGTACTTAATCTTAATGTACTGATTTCTTTTAATACGCTGAAATTAGGTACGGCTCAAAGCATAGGAGACTTAGGACACTGATTTTCGGAAGGCTGCAACTAAATTGTTCCCACAAGCAACAGTTAAATAAAGGTATTTTGAAATATTTATATGTTTATTTTATACGAGGCGTTAATCGTACTAGATGCCTAGGACGGTGAAAATGCGGGAGGTGGACCTGCTTGAAATAAATGAGCATAGCCACAAAATTGTAAAATTATTTACTGCTCAAAGATTACTTTGCATGTTTGTTTTTACTGTCAAAAATAGTTTTATGTTATATTTAATAAAATTTTAAAAAATTTGGTTAAACTCTTATTCATCATCAATACATTTTAAATTTTCATCTTCTGGCAATAAAATGGCCAAAATACATTTTAATTATAAATTTATAATTACGAAATCATTGCAGCTAGCAATTAATTGTTAGAGTAAAAAGTTCGTGAGTTTAAAACATCCACTTATAAAAAACTTTTCGATGACGTTGATGAAATATAAAATAACAATATCACTCTGTGAAATATGACTTCAAAAAAGGAGGAGATTTTTTTTATTTGGTTGCGCCTTCGAACAGGACTGAAGAGGCACCAGGCAAAAAATAAATGGGCAGATTTCCAACAAATGAAAAGACAAAAAGTAAATACACACCAAGCCGTGTTACCTCGGTTTTCATCAGCTTTCTAATAGGAAGGTTCTCCGAAAAGGATGTTATGTAGGGTAATTTAATTTTTGAGGAAGTGCTTTATTACTGTCTGAGTTTATCGCATATTTGAAAATTCACTTTGAAAATGCTCCTTATCTCACTCATGGTACAGTTTTAATATTTTATTTCTAATGTTTATAGTTATCTTCTCGTGAAATCCTGTATAACTCAGAATCTAAATTTCTTATATTTTCAAGCTTTTCTCCTATTATAAGGTAAGAATTCTAGATTTCTATTTTTAATAATACTTTACAGTCATTTAATTACTGTACTTTATATTGCAAATAATTAGTCCTTGATTCGCTAAAACTTGCATTCTAAACTAAATCAAAATTTCTAACACACATTCTTAAGCTAATTGTTTTGGTAAAAAGTAATATTTTGGTTTTTCTTACTGTTTTATTACTTATCCATAGTAGAAAACGACATTATTGTATTGCAGTGGAAGTACTTTTCAATCTGTTTTTATAAAAGTAATAAGAAACTTGTGAAGATAAAATTAAAAATGAAATATACAATATAAATAGATTTAAGATGACCACATTTCCTTTCTATTTAAGGTTTCGAAATGTAAATGTTCATTATTTTTAATGATCATCATTAGGAGAAATCCTTTTAAAACATTTTCGTAAATAAAATCTTCACTTAGAAAAACATTATATATACTTTCAAGGTAACTGAGCTTTATTTTTAAGCGATTTCACCGTAAGTAATTGTGACACAAATAAAATTTACATTTTTTAGAAAACATACTGTAAATTATATCTTCATTACACTAACTGCGAACTAACTGACATTCCCGGGATATGTATTTAGTTATGTGTTTATTTAAAAGTATTTTAAACATTTCTTTAAGGACATTTTAACTTTAAAGATTTCACCTTGCATTGTACTTCTATAGTGATTTTCATTTACTTTTAATGCTTTCAAAATTACATCAGGAATACTTATTTACCATTAAATGAACCTACACTATTCCAGTTTTGATTCTACTTCATTTAAAAATTTAATTTTTTTTAAATTATCATAATACGTTAAGCATGAAAAATTTTAGCCTTAAATCAGTGTTACTGAAATTTGTTGCCTCAGTTCATGTAAAACTTTCATACTACTGGCACCATTTTAAAACACTTTTAATTACGTATTGTTGCTGACACATTTCAATTTTATAATATTCGTTCCTGAAGATTGGTCATTTTTTAGAGTTCGTAAGCTTTAATTTGTAGCATGTTTCATTAATTAAATAACAGAACGGGGACGAGGGGGGGGGAACTCTAAATTTTTCCGTATCTTAAAATGTTCTAGAATATCTCTAATCTTTAACATAAGAGGGGGAAAACTTTTTAATTAATGTTACAAAACAGTAATTAATTTGATTTCATTTTGAAAAAAATATTTTAATGAATATTCGTGTGAAATAAGTAGTGATTGCTATGTGAGGAATGGTAATAATTCATTACTAATTATGAATGTTTAATTGTGTTGTGTGTTGTAACTTATCTCACTTCTCTGACAGTAACATCAGAACAAGTCCAGAAATTCATCATTAATAATCATTAATTCATCCTTAAAAATCATTAATTCGTCGTTGATAATCATTATCGAAATTACTCAGTACATCAAATACCTTAAAATCAAAATCAAATACTTTAAAAACTTAAAATCAAATACTTTAAAATCAAACTATAGTCAGGCTAATGTATCTTTAAATTTGCAAGATAAAATTTTTAAGTGTTACTATGCCTCCTAAAAAGAAAAGTGTTGAATAAAATTGGAAATCTGCTTCTAATGGGAAACAAACTTAAGAATGGTTTTCAAAAATGCATTCGTTAAGAAGTGCAATGAAATTTAGTAAATTAAGCCAATATTTAAAACTTTTCTGAACATTATTTGGCAAATTTATTTGAATAGCAGTCCAAATCTTTTGCAATCTTCCAGAGTTTTTTTAAAGCAGCTATAGAGTCCAAGCAACTATAGAGGGGCGAAGATTATTTCATGAGTTAACGCCTTAAATACAAATGCTAAATTTTCTCCATAAAGTTCAGAGAGATAGTGATTTGATATATTTTATCCAAATGCGCTGAAATTACAAAAGCCTTTTTTTAATTTCTTTTTCAATTAATAAAAGGCTTAGCTTTCTGATGTCTAAAATTAAAACAGCTAAGTGGTTTTCAGAAGTTTTCAACGGCTTAGGGCTGGAAATATTCAAATCACGTAAAAAGCGGGAAAAATCCTTTCAAAGAATTTTAGGATTCGAGAATTCGAATGTCCCATTTCTGTGACGTACTCATTTAACTTAAAATGAACGTACGGATTATAAGTAGGTAAAAGAATGAATTAATGATAGAACATGTATGTCGAACAACGGTTAGATTTTCCAAGCTCTTTACCCAAAGTAAAGCTCTGCCACTTATATTTCTTCAACAATTCCATACAATCTGGAAAAATATTTCAACAGATGGTAAATAAAATATTTCAAATTCCATGATAAAATGCTGAAAACTGGTTTTGTTTTGAATCCTCTTGACAAAACTGTATTGGAATAACGAATTGTCTCTGAAGCGTTATTAAAAATTAGAACTTACTATAGAGATTTTTTACTCTAAGGAGGTCCACCTCCATCTGAGCGGTAAAATTGCTGAATACTGGCAGAGATGTTTCTCTGATTTTTTCCATATATAGCGTGAATAGGAGCCAATTTCTCTTAAAATTTATTTATGAAGGCATCTCTTCTCATAGACAGATATCCCTCAAACAAACTGGATTATTAACTTGTAGAGTTATTATGTTACACCGATGTAGAGTTACTGTGTTACGTCGATCATGAAAAGTATTCAATATCCTCGCCGAGATTCGATCTCCGAACCTCCCGAATAGACATCGAGAGTGCTTCCAGTTACACCACGAAGGCAGGCGGAAAGGAAGGAGAAAATACCTTATGAACTGCGAGAAATCTGTCACTAAGATTCAGTATCAATTGCAGCTATGAAGCCACAGTGTGTGTAGCACAGTGGTAGCACAGTGCTTTTACTGTTCGTAGCTGTTAATTGAACGAACTATTGTGGTGGAAGTCAAAAAGAAACAAACTGAGAGATTAATAACTTAAAACTTGTCAGTACTTCTGTTTCTTCTAATAACCTTTAGAAACATCCTGGAGTCCTGAGTAGGAATAGGGAGTTTACTGAAAATTATGTTCGTGCGAGTGTAGAAGATAGAATACAAATGCGAAGGGTTAAAATTACCCTTTATTTCTCACAGCGTACAACCGATCCCGCGCTTCGGGATACAAAGACCACCACTTATGGTTTAAAACGTAGAAAATAAGAAATAGAACTAACTTAACCAAATAAGAACTAAACTTAGAGACTTTACAAAGACTAGTAACGCCAAGATTGGCCTTTTAAACTCTACGTATGTAGTGAGCAGAATGCGGGAAACTGCAATATGTCTTCAAGTATCAAAGAGCTGGTCTGAAAGGCACAGAGGAACTGACAAAAATGTGCGCTCGTGGGAAGGCAGTGTTACCAGTTTGGAAGCTCATTTGCATAAGCTAATCTCTTCGCGTTTATTCTGGCCGGAAATGGAAAGTAAGGAGAATAGCAAAATTTAAAAATAAAATAAACGTTAGTAAAACTTAAAATCCTTACATGCTTAAGTATTTACGTCATAAAAACAAATTGTTTACATTGACAGTATTTAGTAAAAGATTTGGTTTCCCCTAACTTTATGTGATAAATTTACGCGACCCCGCTACTGTTCAAATAACGACTTCATTCTGAGTATGGATGGTTAAGGATCAATCAGAAATCATAGTTACGGTCACGATCAGCATTAACTAGTTGATATAAATTTTCTTTATGTAAATGCCATATTCCATATTACACTTTTGTTTAAAGAGTAGAAGTAATGAAAAGCTAAACAGATGGAAATAATACTGCTTTATTCGCTCGAAAATGGCATATATAGGTAGAAATGAAATAAAAATTAATAAAATATTAATTAACTAGTTTTAAGAAATGAGATAAAAGTAATAAAATATTAATTAACTATTTTTAACTTTTTACTAATCTAACCATTTTGATTATCAATTCCAACTTAAACAGACTAAAATGTCAATCAGAACAAGACAAAATTACGAAATGAAAAACAGCAATATTTACTAAAAATACATAAAAAGTATTTTAATATGCGTAAGCTGGATGCATCATTTAAGCTGAAATTATATTTTTAATTATGAAATAGACATTTTTTGTTAAGAAGATTCAAAAGAATGAAATCTTGTAGGTATCTGGTCTCTTAGAACCTAATATTTCTTACTCAGGTATTATCTATTGAGTTACTGTCGTTGGAAATCAGCATAAGGTGATCTGAGCGTAGCTTTATTTATTGC